TCCATAGTTTTAAACGGTTGTGTTTATATATTCATGTGTGTCTATTTTATTTTCACCACGTAAATACCGTTCGAATACTTGTGGTGCTCTTTCTTGTAGTTGCTGTTTTGTTTAAGTTGTTGCATATACCACCAACAATTTTCGAGGCTCTAAATTACGTCGTAATTTAGAACCCAAAATACAGATCATTCGTCCTTGTGGTAATCTGTACAATGTTTTCATTTATATTTTTATCGTTTTCATTTATATTTTTATTGAATTTTAATTTGATTCAATAAAATGCAGGGAGCGGAGCACAATTAAAATATGCTATGTTTTACAACTATTTACGTCGAGGATTCGATTGTTTCAATTTATCGCGAGTGATAAAGTTACGATGAGCGTACAATCATTTAAAATCTCTCACGTGCATAAGCATTGAATTTTTAATCATTCGCTGTGTGTGTACACATTCACATTTGTTTATAAACAGGTAGAACGTTTTATCATTCTGTTCCCTATAGCTTTTTAGACGGGACATAATTATGGTCCCTTCTAACATTCAACAACTTCTTTTCCAATCCCCAATACCATGAAATAAACTAGGTAGTAGGAGAAGAGAAATAAAAGATGTTAGAATCTATGTGAACATTATGTGAACAAAAAAATTAAAAAATATCTTTCCACTTTAAGTATTGCAAAAAAGTTAAAAAGCAGTAAGTTCGGCCTGGCCGAACTTTGAAAACCCTCCACCATTTGGAACGAATTTGAAAATTTTCAAAAAATAAAATCCTTAAAATTTTAAAAATTCCGAATATAGCAGTTTTACCATATTACCATATTAAAATTCGAAATTTGAAATAAACGGTGAATAATGCAGCTAAATTCATCAAAATATCGTATATAGAGAGGTACCGTTATATCGGAGCTGTGCAAAGACATGGACCAGCATAGACAATTTTCTGTCTTAGGTTGTAGTATCCATTTCGAACTTTAAATACCAAATTTGAAACAATTCCGGGGAATAATGCCGCTAAAATCATCAATATACCGAATGTAGGGGGTACCGTTATATGGGGGCTATATGAATACGTGGACCTACATAACCCATTTAAAACTTAACATGCCTACTGGAAAAATAAACATGTGTGCAAAATTTTAGCCTTCTATCTCAATTCGTTCGAAAGATAGCGTGATTACAACAGACGGACAGACAGACAGACGGACATCGCTAAATCGTCTTAGATTTTTACGCCGATCAAGAATATATAGCATTTTCAGATTAAATGAAACCTTTTGCAATTCAAATGAATCTTTTTGCAGCGGGAATGAAACCTTTTGCAGTGGAATTGAAACCTTTTGCAGTGGAAATGAAACCTTTTGCAGCGGGAATGAAACCTTTTGCAACCGAAATGAAACCCTTTGCAACCGAAATGAAACCATTTGCAACCGAAATGAAACTTTTTGCAAATCAAATGAAACTTTTAAATTTATAGAAGGAAAAATAACAAAACATTTTTATTTTTAGTAGGTTTAAAATGAAATAAACTAATTATAACTAATATATAGTTAAAGAGGAATTTTTATTGATTATTAATAACTATGTTTTTATAAATTTTTTTCTTAAGTTTCCATAAAACACAAGTGTAGATGCAGAAAGATTGAAAAAAGTTATTCAAGGTATTTTTTTCAAAGGACCCGAATTAGGTACCTTTTTATAATCTCCTCCATGGAAAGGAGGATATATTAAATTTGTCATTCGGTTTGTAACCCCTCTAAATATTCGTCGTAGACCCCATAAAGTATATACAATCATGATCATAGTTGATTTAATGATTTCCACTTATCTGTCTACTGAAATCACGACTACTTTATCTCCATAATCAATAAAGCTGCGAAGCGGGAATCCTTTATTAGGTAAGATTAATAGTATACTATAACTATAAAAATTGTGGTAAAGCTTAATTTCACATTTCAGTCCTGGCCATACCTATAAAGGCCAAAATTTGTTTAAATTTCTCTTTTTAGCGTTAAGCATTTGTAATTTAATAATATTGAAGCATTTTATATCAAATCAATAAAGAACCATTTTTTATTACAATAATTGAAAATTTAAGAAATAATATAAATAAATGTAGATATTTATAATCAATAAAAAATCCTCTTTGTCAATATATTAGTTATAATTAATTGATTTAATTTAAAAACTACTAAAAATAAAAATGTTTTGTTATTTTTCCTTCTATAAATTTAAAAGTTTCATTTGATTTGCAAAAAGTTTCATTTCGGTTGCAAATGGTTTCATTTCGGTTGCAAATGGTTTCATTTCGGTTGCAAAGGGTTTCATTTCGGTTGCAAAAGGTTTCATTCCCGCTGCAAAAGGTTTCATTTCCACTGCAAAAGGTTTCAATTCCACTGCAAAAGGTTTCATTCCCGCTGCAAAAAGATTCATTTGAATTGCAAAAGGTTTCATTTAATCTGAAAATGCTATATATATTTTGTTGGGTCTGACGTGAGTATTTCGAGGAGTTACAAACGGAATGACAAAGTTAATATAGCATTTTCAGATTAAATGAAACCTTTTGCAATTCAAATGAAACCTTTTGCAGTGGAATTGAAACCTTTTGCAGTGGAAATGAAACCTTTTGCAGTGGAAATGAAACCTTTTGCAGCGGGTAATGAAACCTTTTGCAACCGAAATGAAACCTTTTGCAACCGAAATGAAACTTTTTGCAAATCAAATGGAACTTTTAGATTTTTAGAAGGAAAAATAACAAAACATTTTTATTTTTAGTAGGTTTAAAATTAAATCAACTAATTATAACTAATATATAGTTAAAGAGGAATTTTTATTGATTATTAATATCTATGTTTTTATAAAATTTTTTCTTAAAGCTTTCATAAAACACAAGTGTAGATGCAGAAAGATTGAAAAAAGTTTTTCACGGTATTTTTTTAAGGACCCAAATTAGGTATCTTTTTATAATCTCCTCCATGGAAAGGAGGATATATTAAATTTGTCATTCGTAACACCTCTAAATATTCGTCGTAGACCCCATAAAGTATATGCAATCATGATAATAGTTGATTTAATGATTTCCACTTATAGCATTTTCAGATTAAATGAAACTTTTTGCAATTCAAATGAAACTTTTTGCAGCGGGAATGAAACCTTTTGCAGTGGAATTGAAACCTTTTGCAGTGGAAATGAAACCTTTTGCAGCGGGAATGAAACCTTTTGCAACCGAAATGAAACCTTTTGCAACCGAAATGAAACTTTTTGCAAATCAAATGAAACTTTTAAATTTATAGAAGGAAAAATAACAAAACATTTTTATTTTTAGTAGTTTTTAAATTAAATCAATTAATTATAACTAATATATTGACAAAGAGGATTTTTTATTGATTATAAATATCTACATTTATTTATATTATTTCTGAAATTTTCAATTATTGTAATAACAAATGGTTCTTTATTGATTTGATATAAAATGCTTCCATATTATTAAATCCCAAATGCTTAACGATAAAAAGAGAAATTTAAACAAATTTTGGCCTTTATAGGTATGGCCAGAACTGAAATGTGAAATTAAGCTTTACCACAATGTTTATAGTTATAGTATATTGTTAATCTTACCTAATAAAGGATTCCCGCTTCGCAGCTTTATTGATCATTAAATCAACTATGATCATGATTGTATATACTTTATGGGGTCTACGACGAATATTTAGAGGTGTTACAAACCGAATGACAAATTTATTATATCCCCCTTTCCATGGAGGAAATTATTAAAAGGTTCCTAATTCGGGTCCTTTGAAAAAAATACCTTGAAAAAACTTTTTTCAATCTTTCTGCATCTACACTTGTGTTTTATGGAAGCTTTAAAAAAATTATAAAAACATAGATATTAATAATCAATAAAAATTCCTCTTTAACTATATATTAGTTATAATTAGTTGATTTAATTTTAAACCTACTAAAAATAAAAATGTTTTGTTATTTTTTCTTCTAAAATTCTAAAAGTTTCATTTGATTTGCAAAAAGTTTCATTTCGGTTGCAAATGGTTTCATTTCGGTTGCAAAAGGTTTCATTTCCGCTGCAAAAGGTTTCATTTCCACTGCAAAAGGTTTCATTTCCACTGCAAAAGGTTTCAATTCCACTGCAAAAGGTTTCATTTCCGCTGCAAAAAGTTTCATTTGAATTGCAAAAGGTTTCATTTAATCTGAAAATGCTATATCTGTCTATTGAAATCACGACTGCTCTATCTCCATAATCAATAAAGCTGCGAGGCGGGAATCCTTTATTAGGTAAGATTAATAGTATACTATAACTATAAAAATTGTGGTAAAGCTTAATTTCACATTTCAGTCCTGGCCATACCTATAAAGGCCAAAATTTGTTTAAAATTCTCTTTTTAGCGTTAAGCATTTGGAATTTAATAATATGGAAGCATTTTATATCAAATCAATAATTGAAAATTTAAGAAATAATATAAACAAATGTAGATGTTTATAATCAATAAAAAATCCTCTTTGTCAATATATTAGTTATAATTAATTGATTTAATTTAAAAACTACTAAAAATAAAAATGTTTTGTTATTTTTCCTTCTATAAATTTAAAAGTTTCATTTGATTTGCAAAAATATTCATTTCGGTTGCAAATGGTTTCATTTCGGTTGCAAAAGGTTTCATTTCCACTGCAAAAGGTTTCAATTTAATTTCCGCAGCAAAAAGTTTCATTTGAATTGCAAAAGGTTTCATTTAATCTGAAAATGCTTTTGCAGCGGAAATGAAACCTTTTGCAACCGAAATGAAACCATTTGCAACCGAAATGAAACTTTTTGCAAATCAAATGAAACTTTTAAATTACTGGAAATAAAAGAATGAATGAACTGTTTGAAACAAGCAGTGTAATCACTTCTTCATATAAAACAACTTAAAATTAAATTTGCTGGGTATATGTAGATGTAGGTATACTATATACTTTACTATTTCAAAATATGAAATTGCATACTTACATATTTGATCAGGGGGAATATCATCGACAGACGCAGGGTGTTTTCTTTTAGAGCTATCTTTTTCGTTCGCTTTCATGATGTTGAATGTATCGTCTAAAACTGCAATTTGAATGTCTTTTGAACAGCCGTCAGGTATTTTGGTGTTGATAATCGAAGAGTCAATTCCGTATCTAGATCCGTGATCGTTTTCGACGTTTGCAGTATCCATTATGCCAAGTTTTTTGGACGATTTCGGAGACTTTTGGGCAAATTCTTTTATGCTTTTCTTCATACGGCATATATCTTCTGTTTTCAATCGATTAATACGTACCAACGGATTTTTGAAGGCGAAGACATTGCCCCTTTTTATTACAGGATTTCCCACATTGTCCATATTCATTTTCTTTGACTTCTGATTATCTATCTCATTTAGATTATTAAAACCAGTCTCAGCATTCGTGTTGTCATTAGGACAAGCCTTTGGTACCTGTACAGTAAAGCATCCTTCATTTTCGGTTTTCTGGTTTACTTCTTTGTTTATACAGAAATTCCCTGAAATTACTTTTTCCGCGTTTTCTTCGACGATATTGCAATTTTCCCACTGAAGCTTATAACTAAAAGAATTGGAAAACAGATATAATTATATTATTATATAATGTAACACAGATTTATATAGTAATGTTCTAAATTTTAGTTTTTTGTAGAATATTAACCACTATTAGTGCTACTCAAGATTTGTCTTCCTATATTAAGGATAAATTCTTGAATTCAAATGTACTTGTGTTTCCAAACTTATAATAATTAAGTCATTGCTAATGTCGTGCTAGACATAAGAACACCAATATTTAGGTCAAACTTTTCACATTTTAATATTTTTACATTCGAATTCTCACACATTCTAATGAACAACATTATGAATACTTCGAAAATCAAATTAACCCAAACTCATTTTCATATTTTTACTAATTTTTAAAGTTCGCTTTACAATACTTATTTTAATAAGTGTATATTCTATGGCTGCATTTCAAGCATAGCTGCGCTTAAAAGTGATATTTTCTTTCAAAATAAAAACGCAGGTTACTGTGTGGATGAAAAGTTATTTATTTTATTTACAGTAGTTAAAAGAAAAAAAAACCTACTAACTATTAAGGCAAAATACACTTTTTTGGCTTGTATTGAAAAAACTTTAAATTTCACTTGAAAATGTATCAGAAAAAGAATATGGGAAACATGAAGAAATGTGCAAGCTATAGACAATGTTCTGCCACCGGAGTCAGAACCCATTACGAACTACAAATACCAATTTTTAAGACAAATCCGTGGAAAATGTGGCTAAAATCTTTAAAATACCGAATATCGGGAGGTACCGTTATACGGTGGCTGTAGTAAAACGTGGACATATACAGCCAATGTTCTGACAACCAAATTAGAACCCGTTAATAGCTCTTATTATCAATATTGCAAAAATCATTAAAATACGAATATAGAGAGGTACCGTTATATGGGGGCTATACCAAGACGTAGACAGATATATTTCTTTTTAATACCAGCCATCCCAGATACAATGCAACTTACAATTTTTGTATGTTGTAGGAGGGACGGGCATGCAAAAGCGGTTCGGAATGTGATTCTATGGAGATCATCAAAATGATGTGTGGGTTTATTTCGATTCCTCATGTGTGTTATAAACAATAACATAAAGACATAATACCCTATTCCATAAGTGTGATTAGAATTGCATGGGGGATATAGGAAAACATGTACATATGTGGTATGACATGCGAGATAGAAACCTTAACGAACTCTATATACCAAATTTGAAACAAAATTTAGCCTCCTTTCTTTTTAAGATAACGTTATTACACAGGCAGACTTCCTCTACTTAAAATATATGTACTTTGATCAAGAACATACATACTTAAAAAAAAAAAACAAGTAAAAAAGAAGCTAAGTTGGGCCTTTTAATACCCTCAACCATTTCGAAGGAACTTAAAAATTGCTAAAAAATTCCGAAAACTACCACTTAAATGAAAACCGCTATATGGGGACAATACGGAAGGTGTTAATGTGCCAACAATAGAAGGTATAAGAATTAAAGTACTATCGTAAAAATAGAATATTATATGCATGTAAATGTATATTCATTTAGAGGAGTTAATCTACCCACAAAAAAACCGAATATAACAAATTACCACTGTAGTAGCAGTAATAAGTAGTGTTGCATGGGGCTATACCGCCATATTCCATTCGCAATGCCAAATATACTAGGAATAATTTAATGCCTAAACCAAATTCTTATCTTATTTTGGAGTTAATAAACTCCTAATAAACAAGTAAAATAGTATCAGTCGGTTTTGCCGACATATGATTATTTGTGAATGAGGTACCAGAAGGAGTTGGCAGATGTATATCATCTTCACAACAGATCTTGTGTTAGCAAAAATGTTTGCATGTGGGAAATTTGTGCGTGTTGTTTTTTTAGAATCTTGAAACCTATGTGGGGGAGGTACCAGAAGAAATGGCGCGATCTCTATCATCTTTATAACAGGTATTGTGTTAATGGAAATATTGAGATGCATCAAGTCTGAATGGAATCGGATGTTATTTTCGCGTTTTATCAGCTGCATGGATACTCAAAATGTTGACCCTTTGTAGGGGAGGTACCAGAAGAAGTGGACCGAAATACTCCATCTTCACAACCTATTAGGCTTAATAAAAACATTGTGATGTGTGTAAAAGAACCGGATGCTTATTTCGGATTTTATGATCGTTTTCAGAAGGAATGGTCCAATCTCCACCATCTTTATAACAGATCTTGTGATTATAGAAATATTGAGATGTTCCAAGTTTGAATGGAATTAAATGTTAATTTCGGGTTTTATTAGCTTCATGAATAATCAAAATTTTGACGGTTTGTAAGGGAGGTACCAGAAAAAGTAAACCGATATACTTCATCTTTCCAGACCATCACACCAGACTTCGGATTTATACAAATATTGTGATGTGTGTAATAAAGGCCAGCACAAGACGAATTGTATGAATTATGCATTTTTCGACAACACGGACTTTGTCTACTCTATCATGCGCTATGTATTTTATAGACAATGACAACCAACAACATCCCCCATTCTGATTCATGTGTGCCATTGTTTAAGTTTCGATCGTGGCATGGCTGACTCGAATATTTGCATGGTGTTCTCCATAAATGCAGTGTGTCGGCGATGACATCGAACCATGTCATCGTCACATTGTGTGTCATTTGGATTGTTTCGTCAATAACCACGATATATGTAAATTTGGACCATTAGAAGTACCTTAAATGTGTTAGTATTCCAAAGAAATAATTTTCATATATGGGAAAACAGGTAGCGATTGCGCTTTGCCTTCATTACGTGTGTTTGAAAGACTCAAACATGTGTGTGGAAATGGAATTGGTGTTTCACACGCTTATCTAAATATTATTTAGTTTTTAGTTTACTTTATGCTAAGTACTTACATTCTTATCAACATAGAATTTACTTTTCACTTTAGTGATAATTTTGTATTGAACTATTTACGTACGACCATGTTTAATAGTTTTTGTAAATTATAATCTACCCAACGCTGTGTTTGCCTGCTGCATAAGATAATGAGCATGTAATAAAGATTTTATGACCCCCACAAGAGATATGCAGGCGAGACAATGTACGACAGATGAGTCGCGTTGGTCTGTCACCAATTTATATGTATTCTTGAATAGAAAATAAGGGTTGCTAGATAGTGTGGAAGGTTAAGAATTATTTTGTAAGCTAGCACTTAAGATGGAATCGTCCATCGAGCGTGCACTTTAGCGAAAGTTTTAGATGGTATGTTGCTGACGGCGCGAGGTAGGAAATATCGCAGTAATACCATACCAGACATGCGTAAGAAGGTGGTAGAACAATGGGAAACATTCTGCAGAAATGATGAGGCACTCAAAAAAAGGGACGATAAGAGTGAAAATGACCCTTATTATAAGGAGAAAGCGTATGAAATTGCACATAACATGAAAGAGGACATATGGAAGATTTTAAATGATGCAGAAGCAGAAGAATCCCACACCGTTAAAATAAGTCCACAACAAGGAGATTTAAGTCCACAAGAACATAGCTTAAACGCACCACAGTTATCATTCAAATTAATGGAAATGGGTGAAGTGACAAATGAAAATCACAACAAACTAGCAAGATAATTAGAAAATCAATTTAATTCTAACATAGCAGAGTTAAATTCTATGATAAAGCTGGTCGAAACCAAGAAAGACAAGTTATATTTAACAAAACTGCTTGAGAGACTGGAAGTCCAAATGAACAGACTGCTCGACATTCAACGGCGAGAGAAGGTGCAGGAAATGACTTTACGGAAGATCAGTGGGAGCAGTCCGGAGAAGATTTCAACAAAGCTCAGATGCAAATAACAGAATTGTTGACATCTTTAGAAGCGGCAGAAAGAATATCCGTAATGGTCGAAAAAATAAAAATTCCAGAGTTTAGTGGACGTCGTGAAGATTGGAACTCATTTTATGAATTATTCCGCACATTAGTGCACGAAGATAAAAATGCCTTAAAATGCTTTGAAGGGGGATGCACTGCAGATTATTAAAAACATGCCGTTAACTAGTTCAGCATATGGAAGCATAAAGGTACGACAATAAAGGGACGTAAAAGGTACGACAATAAAGGGACTCTATTCACACATTATGTGGACAGCCTATTAGATGTGCCAAAATTAATGGATCATCAGTGCACAGTATCAAGAAGTTATTGGCAGATATAGAGAGCATTGAGGGAATCAAATCCATGAATTTGAAACTGGGAGATGCATACCCAATTCTGGCACACATAATAGTGCGCAAATTGGATAAAGAGACTCTTTTACAATGTGAACAGACAATACAAAAGTCTACGGAAATTCAAGATATCAACGACGTTCTTAAATTCTTGGAGCAAAGATATCAAACTTTGAATTCAGTTTGGTCTATAGATGATGGAGATAAGCAGAGATTCAAGCGACAATACAGTTTTGAAGTGGCAGCAACAAACAGCGAAGAAAATCAAACAAAATGCGGTTATTGCAAAAGTTTTGGGCACAAGATTCACCAATGTCAGCAGTATAAAACATTAACAGTGAAGGAGAGAATTGATTGGGTAAGACGGAACGAGCTGTGCACTAACTGTTTAAATCATAAGGCAACAAGAAGATGCATTAGCAAAACGAATTGCTTTATGAGTAATGGCAGACATCACACCAGCCTTCATATTGAAAAATCGGCTTCAGGAGGCAACAAAGGAAAATCAACATTTACCACAATTAAAGAAATGCATCATGTATTAATTGCAACAGCACAGATACGAGTAAAATCGAAGCAAAACGAATACATCACCTTGAGAGCATTAATCGATCCTTGTGCTCAGGCGTCTTCAATCAGCGAGGAAGCCGTACAGATATTGCAGTTGCCAAAGCAAAGAACAGATGTAACACTGCATGGACTTGGAGGAGCAGTCGTCGGTAAAGCAAAATCGAAAGTTATTATCGAAGTGAAACCCAGATTTTTAAACGATTTCGCTGTGAATATAGAGGCAGTCGTACTTCCTGA